TACATTCAGTGTATAAGATGCACCTAAATTTTCACCCCCTTTTATACTCTTATATCTTATACTCTGAAAAATATGGTATATTAATCACTACATAACTTAACATGGGTTGTAAAGAGATTCTTTTAACATTACACTTTAAATCAACTTCTTTAAAGTATTCCCTTAGCTCTTACAGCAAGATGATTTCTATTAACTCGTATTTTATGAAGCATCTCTAGCTGATAAATCCTTCTCTTCCCTTGCAATAAATAGAGATCCCTCCATTCTGGACGATCTCCTTAGCTAAGACTTCAAGTTCTTTTCAGACCAATCCTTCTACTCACATCATCCAAACACCTCTCCTTCAGTCTTCCACCATCCAGTTGTGGAATTTATTTATTTATTGTCATATTTTGGAATTGTGGAATTCCAAAATATCCATATTGTGGAATTGAAATTGGGAAGAAGTTCCTCTGCTACCATTATTTGAGTGACAATCCTGATATCCCATGTAATGACCTGTCTGTTTTTCTTGACTTTTGCACCCAACCTGAATCCCAGTGAAGGATAACTGTATAGGTCTATATAAAAATGTTTGCTCCTGAAAGTTTGCCTGTTTGAATATTTGGATAAAAAGTACTGTGAATTGAGAAGCTGCTGGACTCGGGAGAACTATTTTCCCCCTAAAATGGAAATACTGTATGTCATTGGAGTTTTGGCAAGCATGTCCAGGACTTCTTTCTCCATCCTAAAGCCATTGCAATTAGTCAGACAACACAGATGGTATGATGTAGCATGTTGAATTTATCCACATCCTTTTATGTCACCAGCCAACTGAGATATGTAATGAATGTGATAATATCATTAGGCCTATTCAGATGCTTGCCTTTCTGCTTATGGTCTGGGGAGATGATAATATGGTATATATAATGTATGTATGATGACTTCACACCTTCAGATCCCAAATCAATGTCAAATAGAGAGATAGAGAGCTGAGCTTTACAAGGTTTTCTCTAAATATATAATATTAAATATAAAAGGAGCTCTAGCCATAATTAGAGGTCCTAGAAGAGGGTGGTCATTATTTTATTAATTCTGAATCTTGCTTCTACCTTTATTTAGTCGAAGCGCTTCCCTGATAGATAACTGAGACACATCCATGTACTATGAGATAAACACTGTTGCACTTTAACAAAAAGACCTACAACTTAATATAATAGCAAACTAATACAATTAAAATATAATAAAACAACTCTTTAGAAAGAGGCTGCCTGCTATTTCTCTGTTTTTCCTGGTCTCTTTGTCCCAGTGATGTATAAATTTTATTTATTTTTAATCAGATGTGACTAGATTATTTAGTGATTTAATATACCTCAGATTAAAGGTACACCTCTTTACATCCCTGCATGAATCAAAACTTATATCTCAAAACATTAAGAGTAGGAACTGAATAATGGTGTCATTTTACACCTTAAAAATATTTTTTTAATGGAAGAATGAAACACATTTAGAATGTATATAATCATCATATATTAGCCTGATTTATTAGATAGCAAATACCAAAATATGTCTAAACTAAACTATTGAATACTTTTATATTAGAAGCTATATGGTTTTTTGTTATCAGAAAAGATTTACAGATGTAACTAAGAAATTTAGATAAATGAATCTTTACAACCCAGAAATTTAGCATTGAAGTGAAAAAGCATGTTTGCAATTAGCATTGTAAAGTTTTTCCATTTCTGCACAGAAGGTGTCAAATGACAGCTAAATTTAGTTTAGTTTCTATTGTTTCAAGAATCTTATATTTACTTTCACATAAACTCTTTCACTTCAAATTCACTGAGGCATTAAACTTTCTCATTAACTTAACTGACTCCTTAAACAGGCGAGGAATCTTCCAATATCCACTGGAAAGAAGTGTATGTCTGTAGATATAATTAGATAATCACTAACCCTATAGATAAATATTTCATGTGACCCGGGAGGTATGGATCTAATGGAAAGTATGCAACAGTGAGTCTTATGACAAAGTTGGACAAATATAAGTTAAGCTACATAAGTAACCATATTGCAAGCAATTCTCACAGTCTGTGGCATGATTATTTGGACAGAGTCTTTTATATTAAAGAATATCCTTCCATTTAAAAATGGTATTTTTTAAAAAAAATTGATTTATATGCCGCCCTTCTCCGGAGACTCAGGGCGGCTTACAGTGCATTAAGCAATAGCCTTCATACTTTTGTATATTTATACAAAGTCAGCTTATTGCCCCCACAGACTGGGTCCTCAATTTATCTACCTTAGAAAGGATGGAAGGCTGAGTCAACCTTTTCATTTATTTATTTTTATTTGATTTGATTTGATTTCTATACCGCCCTACTCCTGAAGGACTGAGGGCGGTGCACAGCCAAACAATAAAATACATACACACAAAATTTAAAAGTGGAATTAAAATCAAATTAAATAGTTTTGGCCCAAACCTTGAGCCTGGCGAGATTCAATCTTACTTTAATTGCAGACAGCTGGTGTTAAATTACAGTGCTCTGTCTGTTGAGCTATCCAGGCTCATTGAAAAGTCTATTTGATAATAGACTTTCAAAAGGTAAGTGAAGTGATTGTACATTCTCTATATTAGCCCATTGCCTCCAACTTGCTTAATTTTCTTTTATTTGTAAGAATTTAAACTTTGGGCTTACTATTTTCATAATTCAAGGTTTTTAGAAGCGGTACTGGCAAATTATACCAACTGAAAAGTTAGAGAAGATTGTAGGAAACTTGTGTGGCTTTCTTAGGCTTGGTTTTCACCCAAGGGGATAAATCTGAGTCTACATTATATTTATGAAAAATACTCTGTTGATATTTTTATGGGGGATATTTTTAATATGTATGCTAGAAGCCTGCACAACATGGCTTGGACTTACCTTTGAAGATGACCTTTATATCATACACATCTATACCTAATGTCCAAATATACTGTTGTCACAATATAAGCTTTTTCCTTTCATAATTGGATTGAAATGTTGCATACAATGTGTAAGAGATGGATCTTGTGCTACAACACTATGATGCTCATTTCATTAATTAATGAATTAATTAATGTCAGGGTAGCTCCTTAGAAGCATGGGGAGACATGTGATATTTCCCAAAGCAACTTTCTGGATTGGAGGGGCTGTTTCTTAATTCTTTGTTATGATGAAACAGACCTGGAAGATCTGCACAATCCCAATATAGTCCTCATAACTGGATTAAAATAAAGAAGTCTTTGAGTTGAGTTAGTGAACTCAAGAATACAACCTTACACATTTCTTGGCACCTACTGGAAAGTTATTTGCTATTGCCAACTTCTGGGCTTTTTTTTTTTTTTTTACTTCCTGCTCTGGCTGACAACCCAGAATCTCCCAATGGTGTCTTGTCCAAGTATGAACTAGGATTGCTTAGTTCTGGTTGAGCCACAGATAATTGGAGTTCCAGCAAGCAAGCAAGCAAGCAATATACTCTCATTAAACAAAAGCTTAATATCTATATTCCTGTTTTTAATTGCTCCCTGAAGTGGTATAGTCCAGACCCAAATTTAATACTGAAATAGAATGAAGACCTTAAGGAAATATTTGATACTGTTTCTTGTTCCGATCATTTCTCTTAGGTATATCTGAAGCCTGGCTGGAAATCTGTAGATTTGCAAATATTGTTGTATTATATCAATAGCACTATTATCACAGTTACCGTAATAATCAATGGAATGCATGATGCATCAATCTGAGAACTTTCTGATTGATTGATTGATTGATTGATTGATTTGTTGATTAGTTGATTATGTGCCACTATGTAATTTTCAACTCCTAGTAACTACCTAAATAGATACCCCCGAAAATAAGCCCTCTCCCGAAAATAAGCCTTCCCCGAAAATTATGCGCAGCTGGTCTAGTTAGGGTTAGGGAGACAGAGCTGGAAATCAGGTAAGATGGCAAAAGGAGCCCTGTCTTGCTCCACGCACCCCAAAATAATAGGACCTCTCCAAAAGTAAGGCCAAGTGCTTATTTCGGGGTTCAAAAAGATATAAGACAGGGTCTTATTTTCAGGTAAACATGGTATTCTCTGTGATAATCTATCCATTACCTGATCCTTTAGTAGTGTACTCATTTCTGCTGTACCTGCGGTACCCAGAGAACTTTAGGTATATGTTTTGAAATAAATCACAATAGTAAATAAGAAAAATAAGGCAAAAAATGCACAGAACTATATAAGTCATGTGATAGCTCCTGCGTGAGCTGCACTGGCTCCCAGTGGTCTTCCGGGTCCACTTCAAGGTGTTGGTTACCACCTTTAAAACGCTCCATGGCATAGGACCTAGTTATCTTCGAGACCGCCTGCTGCTACCGATGACCTCCCACCGACCTGTGTACTCCCACAGAAAGGGCCTCTTCAGGGTGCCATTAGCCAAACAATGTAGGCTGGTGACCCCCAGGGGGAGGGCCTTCTCTATGGGGGCACCTACCCTTTGGAATCAGCTACCCCCAGAGATAAGGAGAATCCAAGACCTCGGTGCCTTCCACTGTGCCCTTAAAACTTTCTTTTTTCAGCAAGCCGGGCTGGCTTAAAATATTTTTAAAATATTTTTAATTGGTTTGTTATTTTAAATTGGGGCCAAATTAATATATATCTTTTTAATTGTTTTTAATGTTTGTATTGTATGTTTTTATCTGGCTGTACACTGCCCTGAGTCCCTTGGGAGAAGGTGCGGTATATAAATTCGAAATAAATAAATAAATAAAATAAAATAACTATATCTATTACAAGTTGCTTGCATGTAATATCGTGTGACACTGAATCTTTCAAGGCAAGCTTATGGATAGATAAACTAATCATATAATTATATGAATTGTCCATAACTTTTTTTTCTTTTACTTTGATCTATCAATCGGCTTCAAGTTCCAAAACAAACAGACACCTACTGAAACCCACTTCTGGAGACGTTTTATGTAAAGTTTTCTTATTTTCATTTATTTCCTTTTAAACAGTGACCAAGACTTGGTACTTGCCAGACTTCATGAACAGAAAAAGATTGGCTTTTCCTGAAGTATTAAGGTAATTTTATGATTCTTTTAAAGTATAAATTGAAACAACCAAATGTGGTTCTAACAACCAAATGGTTGTATTCCATGTTAATACACACTGGCAGAAATATATATATATTTGTTAAATATTTTAATGTTAAGAAATTATTTCTTACTATGTTGAACTATAAGCATGGTTTAATGTAACTGTTGTTTTCAAGTGATCATCCTCTTTTGCCTTTGGATGGAAATACTTCCCTCCCCCCCCCTTTTCACTCATCTATTATCCATCTATCATCTATCTATCATTTACCTATCTGTCTAAACTTAAAAGACTTTCTATACTGCCATTTTTCATTTTCCTGCAGCTTAGATGAATTTATTTATTTATTTATTTATTTTATTTTTATTTATTTTTATATGCCGCCCTTCTCCGGAGACTCAGAGTGGCTTACAATGCGTTAAGCAATAGCCTTCATACTTTTGTATATTTTATACAAAGTTAGCTTATTGCCCCCACAAACCAGGTCCTCATTTTACCCACCTTAGAAAGGATGGAAGGCTGAGTCGACCTTGAGCCTGGTGAGAATTGAACTCACAGTAATTGCAGGCAGCTAGATGTTAAATGCTTAGTAGAAGGCATTAGCCTCCTACGCCACTCAGGCTCTTTTTTGAAAACAACTATTAGAAAGCTATTATTATAGGTTAGCACCAGTGGTGCGATTCAGTCAGTTCGAGAGAACTGGTTGTTAACTTTCTGAGCAGTTTGGTGAACTGGTTGTTGGAAGAAATCATTATGGGAGAGAACTGCTTGTTAAATTATTTGAATCCCACCACGGATTAGCACTTTGTCATAATTAGTATTGATCAATTCAGCGGCATTGTGGTAGTTTTCTAAATTTGGTTATGGTGAGATGTGTGGTTATCAGTATATTCTTGTAGGGGAAAAAAATGGGCTTTTTATGTGTTTCATGGTTATTTTAGGATGACTTTAAAGATTTGGAAGCTGGCAGTGAGGTTGTATCTCTTTAGTAGCCTAGGCATGTTTTATGATATTGTGCTGAATCAGCTTTCTTGCTGGGAGAGTGGTAACAATTTTTGTGATTATGAAAATATCTTTATACTTGATGGAAGACAGATTTATTCATCTCGCATTTTATTGCAAAGAAAGCTAAGTCATATTTACAAAACCAGAAAGCAAACCGGATTAAAATTATTTTTTAAAATTTATACCATTTTTTAAATGTTGTGATGTATTTTTTGAATTTATTATAAAAAAAGGTGTCCATATGTGTGTGCGTGCGTGCATGCGTGTATGCTTGTGCATACAGAAATATATTAATATTACAGAATTTTTAAAAACCAGAAATATAAATAAATCAGCTTATGTTGGAAAAACAATATATTCAGTGAAACCAAACTCCATATACCAAAGTCCACTTTTGTGGGTGTAAAGAAGTGTGATTCCATATCTACAATACATATTAACATTTTATTTTAATATGTTACAAATCTCTTTGCTCCCTTCTAGTTCTAATTTGCTTTAGGCACAAAGCTACCTGGGAGACCTTGGACCAGTCAGTCTCTCTCAAACCTACAAACCAGGCAATGGCAAGTAACTTTGGAAATACCTTGCCAAGAAAACTGCAGGGACTTGTTCATGCAGTTGCCAGGAGTCAACAACGATTTGAAGGCACTCTCTCTCACACACACAGAAATATGCAAAGGTCATAGTAAACCATGTTTGGGAAATGATAAAGGAGGAACTTAAAAGTATTATGCTCCTCAATTATTTTTTTTCAACTGAAACATGGATAATGTTTGAACTCCTAAAAACTAAGGATCTCTTCTTCTCCGATGAAGAAGTCTTGTCAAATGCCTATTAAAGTTTTCTAATTCTTCGTAGAATAAGAATTTGTAGGAATTGTATGTAGTATTATAGTATTGTACATCTGAAAAAGGCAACTTTTTCAGGCCCAGGAACTGAACTGCCCAATGATTTGGAAGGCTGAGAAAAGTAATGTATAGCTAGGCTGGATTTGGGATTTTCTAATTCTGCCTCATCCCATTTTATTTTATCTTGTTTTATTTTTTAAAAAGTAGATTAATCCATATTTGTTAGAATTTATACTACAGTTGGAGGTTGTTTCATCATTCAATAATGTGGAAATTGCAGCAATATTTTTGGTTTGAAGGAAGGATCTGGAGCCACCTTGCAGATTGCCAAGCCTACTCTAGCCGATGGTTATGATCACCATTATATCATTATTATTTCATCATTTCATTATTTATTTATTTATCCAACTATATTTCCATGAGGCTATTCTAGGCAGCTTACAATAACAAAAAAGGAAGAAAATGAAAGGGGCATAAACAGAACAGAAGTAAAATGATAGAACAATAAAATAAATGAGAAAGAACACAAGGTGTCTATAATTGCCTCAAGTGATGTATCGTACCTTATAGCCATTCATCTATTACAGCTTTGAAGAAGAGACATATGGATGATTTTGTATTGTTCATTTTTTTTCCTTCTCCACTGAGATGTCCTCTTCCATCAGTAATGTGCTTGGCATCATTTCCAACAGAGTTTGCGTTGCATAAGGTGAATGTATCCTTATGGTGCAATTCAGTTGTGCAATGAGCACAAATAATGCTGAATATATTTTGTGATGATTGGAATGCATTTTGCAACATAAAATGATGAATAAGCTGCCAATAAAAGTGATTGAAATGCATGGAAGGAATTGATGGTGGCTGGGGAAGGTTATCGTGTAAGGAAACAGCAACTGGAAAGCATAGCTAGAAAAATAAAATAACTAGGAGTTATTTTGGTATTTATGTTTTAATGGTAAAAATGTAGCTGGCTATAATTTTCTATAATCTTTTAGATTCTCCCCCCCCCTTTTTTTTGTAACACTCTTTCACAAAGAATTCCAAGAAAATTCAAAACTAATTTCATTGATCAAATTATTGCTGAAGAAATGGATGGCATTTTCATAGCATTTATGGAGCTTTAGATGGGAAGCCAGATCAGTTAATTTAATTCCATAATGAAGTTAACACCTTAGCCCTCGAAGAAGCTTACAGTAAAGCTGAAACAAAATCAGACAAAATGAAATATTATATAGTATGTGTATGACAATAATAATATTATACAGTATGTGTATAACAATAATAATACATATCAAGCAAAATTATTTTGGTAACATAGTCTTGAGCCCTCCTTATTGTACCAAAAACAAATCAAAAGTTTGCGTATGTACTTAGCTATTTATTATTTTTCTGTTTCTTTATTGTTTACTTTTAATTTAAAACAAATATTTTCAAAAAAGATAATATCTAATAAATAGACAGGTAGTTACTGAAAATATACAGTTAACATTCAACGTAACATCAGCAAATCATTCCAAGCAGAGATCATTGAGTTGTTTTCATGATATATTAAAAACAGAGGGAAGATGGGTGTCCAAATAAATTAGGTAAATAAATACATAAATAATTTCCAGCCCCTTTCAAAAGTTTACTTTTTTTAACAACTTTTTTCATTCCGGTTAACAGGATTTTAAAAAAAAAAAAAAGAGAGAGAGATATGTGTGAATATTTATGAAATATTTATGGGTGGGGATAAACAACAGGTAAAGAAAGTACTAGTTATTTCTCCATTGTACTGAAGCCTCTCTGACTCCCTGCACTTCAGTTAAGTCCCAGAGAAGACATCAAGAGAAAAAACTTCTCCCAAGAGACTTCTATAGTGCAAGCAGTTAGGGCAATGCAGTGATGAAGAGATGGGGGGGGGGGGGCGGAACCAGCCACAGAATTTTTGGGCAATCCACTGCAATAAAGTATGATAAGCTTAGAAGCTCCACAAATGGATTTGTCCAGAGAAGCCTTTTTTTTTTTTTACTTTTTACTTTTAAAAGCATTTTTTTCTACAACCTCTTTGGCCGAAAAAATGCTTTTAAAAGTAAAAAAAAAAAAAGGCTCATCTGAGATTGCCAGAGGCTTTTAAATACATTTTTTCTGCAACCTCTTCAGCCAAAGAGGTTGTAGGAAAAAAAAATGCCTTTAAAAGCCTCTGGTGATCCCAGCTGAGTTGCCTGATCATCAGAAGCTTTTAAAAGCATTTTTTTTCCGGCAACCTCTTAAGGTTCTTAAGGTTCTAGAAAAAATGCTTTTAAAAGTAAAAAAAAAAAGTTAGCCACACCCACGCAGTCACATTACCCCCACCAAGCCACGCCCACAAAATAAGCCATGCCCACAGAACCGATAGTAAAAAATTTTAGAACCCACTTGGATTACTTTCACATCCATTTTTATGATTTATGATTCATCGTGGAACACCATGCCTTCAGCAGTTGTGGGTGCTCCAACACTGGAGACTTTTAAGAAGGGACTAGGCAACCATTTGTCAAAAAAGGTATAGGGTTTCCTGATTAAGCAGGTTGGACTGGAAAACCTCCAATGTCCCTTCCATCTCTATTATTCTGTATTCCATATACCCACACTTAAATTAATTATTTACCCAGATAAATTTTATACTGCACTCCACACAGTAACTGACTGACTGACAGTCTAGGACTGGACTCTTTCATCAATCCAACCTGAGAAATCTTCCTGGTTGTTTTCAAGCAAACAAACAAAAAAGAAATCAGGTGATATAAAATGTTATAGTATGATTCACTTTGCAGAGAGTGGGGTACGGATTTAGTTAGTTGAGTAGATAAGCTGATCTGTGCTAAATTGATTGATTGCAAATTCCTAGAAAGTCTGTATCAATTTCATTCAAGGAGTCATGTTTTCCACTTTGCTGTCATTGGATGATAAATTCTTGACTTGAGGGCAAGACAGAAGTGTCAACAAATCCTTAAAGGAGTTATTTGCTCTGATTTCTAATCCCAAATTGTTCTATTTGGACAAGAATAGAAATGAAAAAAAAATTGTTTATGGCCATATATTTGTTTTCAAGCACATGATTACCTAATACATAAAAATCTTATGGCACAATACTAGGTAGTAAGTAGGTGGATA